CTTTATAGACTTCTTTTCATTCCAGCTGTCCAGTTATATTTCATCCTTCCGTGTGTCTCAGATGGTACATATTATGACACCGAGATGCTATCAAGTGGAAGGCTAAGTCAGTAGACTCTTCCTTGGTCTCTCATTTTCTGCTTGCTCACATGACAACCCTAAGCCAAACTGTCACTGCTGTGGGAGGCAGTAGTGGTGCTGATGGTGGAAGCGGTATTGGTCCTTCAAGTAATAGGTGCTGAGCCTAGTGAGTCCATGCCTCTGTGTTCCTGATGATGTAGTCGCTCAGGGTGTGAGAGTGTGGATCAGCAGATTCCAGCTATGTCCACTCATGTGCACATAGACGTTTGGAAGGAGGTGGCTTTGTCATCTTCCTGTTACCTTAGCCCTCACTTACACGGTCAGAGTCTAAGATCATTGTACTGATAGTCGCCAGCAGCTAATTTAGAATGTGCTGAGAGACCTAAAGCAAGGATATAATGTTTGCTCTTGCCCAGTTCAGTGCACTTCTGATCTCTTGAACAGAGGGATTAGGCTCGGGTAGGCAATAGTTGACGGGGCTTTGCAATTCTTTTCCTAGTGAGATCGTTTATTCATTTACTGCCTTTGGTTAAATGCTGAACACAGACTCAGATTCTATCACATCTAAGCTGCCTTGCTGCCATTCCTACACAAGGGAAACTGAGTCTGAGGCCTTAGGCATGTGACTTAGCCTCACCACAAGTAGCAAAGGCCACACTCATAAAGTTCTTGGACCCTGTTTTTCCATCCACTTTCCTACTCTGCGCACGACACATTCCCCGAGTGCTAAACCATTCCCTGAATTTACAATGAGTTTGAAACAAGCTTGGTCATCTAATCCTTTTCCCTCTTAAGAGATGATTTCCAGCATTAGGAAGGACGTGGAGAATGTCTAAACTCTAAATCTGAAGCATTAATGTTGAAGACTGGTATTTAGCCTCAGGAAATTCTTACTTTGGGTGCCAAATTAAACTAATTTACACTTACTAACTAACTAAACATTTTCTTAGCATGGCTCAATGCTTACATTTTCACCATAATATTAGACTTGACAGCCTTCTTACTATTTTATAAAACTGTGTAAGGAATGAAATCTATGGAGCTTCGCACCCTGATTCTTCAGGGCCTCCTGCAGGTTCCCGATGCCAGCGTTCTAAATATACTGATGGTAACTGTCAGCAGATGTTATAAACCGTCCCCATAGATGGCGTATCCTGCTGAGCAGAATGTCATTATCACGAGGCACATCCTTAAACACGGTGATGCCGGTCTGATTTTCCTTGAGCATTCTTCTGTGTCTGTTATCCCTCATCCCTCAACCTAGCAAGATGCTGCGGGTAGAAGTCTCTCAACAAAACACATGGACAAATTAAGCCAATTATATATGCCAGGAAGAGACGTATTTTGTAAGCTTCTTTGAGGGGGTCCACCCCAAGTCTATTTTTATTTCTCCACGTTCTATTTACTCTCACCCACGTTTGAACTGCAGTCTTGTTTAGTCACAGACTGGCTTCTGTCCAGACCACCTATTGAATCTCAGGCCTTTGGTGCTTGTGTAAGCATCAGGAAGTTCATTCAGGTAAACCTGGAGGTGAGACTTTAATTGTGTGTTTGTCCTCAGCTGTTACCCTGGAAATGTCTTGATCAGGAGTTTGGAAGACAAAGAGGACATTTTAGGATGAGGATTTACCTGGATGGCAATGAGCCATCCCGTGCTGGACCTGGGGCTTGGGATTTTTCATCATCTGTGGGAAGTGTAGCACGATTTCTGACACCTGTGTCCCCTAGACATCAGACACCATGTCCCTCACGCCTTGCTCCACACCTCTGCCTGCTTTGTTAATCTGGGCCGGTGCCATTTCTATCATAACGGCAGTGGGGAGTGTCTCACCTCTATTGGTAATTTGAGTTTTTGTCCCATTTTCTAGGCAAGATTTCAAACTTTTAATTATCCACTTAGCAAAACCCAGATGTCCTATTTTAAAGACCTATTCCCATTAGGGAATTTTCATTTCCAAGCAACAGTTGGATGAAATCCTAGCATTTTACTTCATCCCATTTCCAGTACTTTAGCTTTGCTTTTTTTTTTTTTCCTGAGTAAATAGGACTATAAACTTTTAATTCTGAAAACCTATTTTCAGTAGAACCGGAAGTCTACCACAACCTTCTCTACGGAAGCTTTCTGTCGAAGCTCTGAGTGGCTCTTTCAAAATACCTCTTAGCATGCATTTGGTTCATAAACCTTCTTGGGGTGCTAAGAGGATAAGTGACTTTCAATTTGCAAACACATTACAAAGTGTTCCATCTCTCATAGTTTAAGGAACACCCTGCTCAAGGTCTCACAACATTTACCTGACAGTGATTTTGATAAACGGATTCATCACTGGGTTGGAAAAAGGCCAGAGCGAGATGGCTCTTGGATCAATTTACTGTGGGCATGTGTATTGGCAGAGAGTGTGGGTCTTGTCTGACCTTGTTTACGCAGGATGTTTCCCCAGCTGTGCTAGCTCAGAGTCTACACTTCAATTGCTTATCTCCACTGACCAAACTGGAAGCTCTAATTACTCCTTGATGGTGGTCTGCATCAGAAAGCCATTTTCCAATTTTGAGAGAAAATGCCTAGGAATTGGTGTGCATTATATCGTGGAACGTAAAATTAGCTTTATTTAAATAATATAATGTATTATAATCACTTGCTTATATATCTCATTGTATTTGAGCATACAAAAATGGGGGTAGAAGGAATTATTTCAGAACTAATGATATGCAGAAAATATAAAGTCAGGTGTTATGTCATGGGCCTAATATGTAAGTATGTGTAGAACAAAATAAGAAAAAAAAATTAAAAAAAATAAAAAAAAAGAAAACCATTTTCCAATTTTGAGAGAAAAGGCCAGGAATTGGTGTGCATTATATCGTGGAACGTGAAATTAGCTTTAATAATCGCAATTCAGCTTAAGACAAAGACGAGATCATTAAAGCCACTATTTCAAGATGACCTTTAGATGACCTAGGGGTGAGGTGGCCTGCTTGAGAAGGTCAGTTTTCGGGCGGGATATAAATGTTGACTCCTTCTCAGCTAGAGATAGTGTCATTAGCAATCCCTACCCTTCCAAGAGCTATCATAGCCATGTGGGATCACAGTGTGTTTTCCTCCACATGGAACTACGTTCAAACATGGAAATCTTATGCTATTGAATCATAGACTTCTTAAGCCTGTGTGAGCGACATCCACGCAAGCGCACTGGTGTAGGAAGCTGGAGGTGGAACTGCATAATGCTTTATGGTGTAAGATTTGGCCCCATGTCTGGGTTTCCATTCTGACATCACATTTCTCAAATCTCCTTTAGCCTCAGCTACTTTAACCTTCTGATTGGTGCCACACTCACACACTTTGTCCTTGGTGACTGTGAGCTGGCTGTTTCCCTGTGTAACTCCACATTTCTTCCCATATCTCCTGCCCTTCCCCCTTAATTTCCCTGTCATTTGTTACTGTTTCACAAGGTATATAGACTTGTGTCTTTCTGACTCTTTTTTTTTTTACTGTTCCTTAACTTACATGTGTGGTGATGTCAGACTTGTCTTTGTGTGTGTGTGTGTGTGTCCAGAGCTTGATACACAGTACATTATTCACAAATCTTTTAGGAATAAATTGCTAAGATGAAAATTTAATATTCATAACCAAAGGCAGATGAGAGTTATTAGCACACTGTGCACTCCCAACTCTTCTTACATACACTGTATTTAAAAGAGAAGGGATATTGGAAGATTTTGCTCATTTTTATGGCATGGGAAGGAACATATTCAGCACCAGAAAAGTAGGGATCTTTTGGAATTGAAGATTCTACCTGTGTGGACTGAACCTAAGAGAAACTTGTAGAAAACTGAAAGCCTTTTTGCTATGTTTTCAGGTGTCGAGGCTTTTCCGTGTGGATGCTTGAACCCAGAGTAGCCTCCGCTGGCGTGGCAGCCTTAGAGTCAACAGCCTCATGCTACAGCTTTTATGAAAAATGAGCTTGAACACTGGAAGCAATGGCCGATTTTTCATTTATGTCATAGACAAAGCCATCTTGATTCCTCTGATCCCAGGCTTTGCCAGACTGCTTCTGCACGTGTGTCTGTACATGCTTGCCTTACCCAATGCCTTTGCTCTCGTCTCTTACATCTCTTGTGTGAAAGCAACGCCGGAGTCGCCATTCTGCCCTGCTGAAGATACACCACCTGTTGGGCTAGATTTTCAAGGAATTCATGATTTGTCAGGCAAATGCACTTATTCGGAAGCATGTTTGTTTTCATGGTATTTCATCTATAGTGTGTGTTTTCTGTTAAGTCTATTTCAAATGTTTGGCAATACGTGGGAGTTAAATATAATTTCAGAAGTGTGTTCTGTATATCTTTGTTGTAAATATCTAAATATTTGTTCTAGAGGCATGACTTTTATTGATTGTTAAATATTGGGCTTATATTTCAAGCTATGTACATATAGCTTGGTAGTTATGCAGGAAATGCAAAGCATATGAAGAATACGATTCCGTGTGCACGATGTACCTGCTCCTGAAAGTGGCACGTGGACTTTTCCTTCTCCCCTGCTGTGAAGAGGAGCACCTGTCTGATTAGGTGCTGTGAGGATGTTCTTACTGACAGACTCCCTAGCACTCAGGCATGGGCTTCCATCCCAACGCGTTCCTTTCATTGTCCCATTTGTTTTAATGTTACCAGGTGGTTTTGATTAATGATCCCAAACAAGTGAATCTGTGTAAAGAAGACAGAAAGAATTATAACTCAGAGGGTTGCTTTTAGGTCAGAGCAACTTACAATGGAAATGCATAATCTTGTTACCGATGCCACGTTAATTTCTTCTGCATTGAGAGGGAAGAAGCGCCTAATTAAAATTCTAACACTTCCTCCCTCCTTTAATCTGCCTTCATACGAGCAAATATCTACAGTGCCACGAGCAAAATCTCTTCGTCTCCTGACAGGTGGATATTCATAGACATAGCCTGCATGTTCGCGAGGGATGTGACGAGCAAGGCATACCCTGTCTCCTGGATCTTCCCTCGTCTCAAGACAGCAAGTGTCCCTGCCCAGGCATGCATCAGCAGGGCAGAAGCCTCAGATCTGTGTCCCTTCCATTTCCTCTGTGTTAAAGGTATTTTACTTATAGACTTTGTTTCCTTAACACAGACAGTGCGCTTAATATGTGACAAGAGCATTCTAGGTATTTTACAAATATTGCCTCTTTTCTGTCCCTCCCCTTTCTGTCACAGAATTTCTGTTGCTGTGAAGAGACATGACCACTGCAACTCTTATAAAAGAAAACATTTAACTGGGGCATGTCTTAGTTGGGGTGTCTCTTGCTAAGAAGAAACACCATGTTCGTGGCAGCTCTTATAAAGGAACACAGTTAACTGCAGCTGGCTTACACTTTCAGAGATTTGGTCATTATCATCATGGTGGGAAGCATGGCAGCACACGGGCAGGCGTGGGGCTGCAGAATGAACTGAGAGTTCTACATCTTGATCCACAAACAGGAATTGAACTGTACCACTGGGCATGGTCTGATGTATATGAGACTCCAAAGCCTGCCTCCATAGTGACACGCTTCCAGGAAACAAGGCCGCCCCTATCCCAGAAAGGCCACACCTTCTATTAGTACCAATCCCTATTGGCCAAACATTCAACAGGTGAATCTACCGGAGCCCATACATATTTAAACTATCACAAGGCCTACATACCATTTCAGAGGGCTAGTCTATTACCATAATGGCAGGGAACTTCCTCCAACAAGGCCACACCTACTCCAACAAAGCCACACCTACTCCAACAGGGCGTGTCCTGATTGCTCTAATCCTTCTCAAACAGTGCTACTCCCTGAGAACTTAGCATTGAATTATATGAAACTAAGGACACCATTCGTCTTCAAATCATTGTATCCTCGAATTAATTTTGTTGCTGTTCTCTGTTTAATCCACTCAAATATTACAATTTTCCAATGATGGCCCTATTCCCAAACATTATACAAACTCAAATAGTGACTAGATTTGTCATCACAAATCATGAAGGGTCTGCCTGGGTAGCTGGGGAAATCCCTGAGGCTGCAGCTAAGACAGAGCCACTGGCGTGTGCTGGCCTGTTGGTGGTCCTCACGGGGCCACAAGCTTCCTGACCTTTTCACTCTTCCTAGGGAGAGCTGAAGCAGAGTCCTCAAACCCAGGAGACAAGAATACAGTGCTTTGTAGTCAGACCTGAGAACAGAAGGTGTCTGTGATCGCCGAAATAAAGCATTCAGTGTGTGCTAGTCCTGCAACCAATGAGTGAAGATTGCCTGGTCTCTATGCGGATATTGTGATTGAGTGGTGGTTACAGGAAAACATTATTAAGTCCGAAACAGTGGAAAAATGATATTCATGCCAAGTCTGTTATTAGGATGGGAATAGTAGACAGCAACAGTAGACTCTGACTGTATAAATGAGGTTCGATGAGGGGTCTTTACCCCTTTGGACCAGTGCTTCATGAAATACTGAGTATACAGTAGGTGCACACAATGTGTTTGTTGAACAAATGGATCAGCCATTGAATTGGTTTCTGCGGGTGCAGAACTATTAGCATCAGAGAGCCGAGCTGCACTAGAATACGTGTCCTACATGCACTTTAATATTTTCCCTGGTGTCTAGGAGTTAGGGAAGGGATCACAGGGCGTAAAGAGTGCTGGCACTCAGGGGAGGGAGGGATGGTTTATTGTGCTTCCACAAAGGTCACTGCTGGGAGTATTCATTGTAAGGGAGTCTGAAGAACATTTGGGCTGAATGTCAGGGGAAGGTTTTGAAGAGAAAAGTGTGTTAAACTACAGAACAGAACCAGAGGCAGAGGCCTTAGGGACTGCATGGAAGTCTCGATGGGCAAACAATTTACAAGAAAACAGGACAAAGTCCTGAAGACGTGGAAATGGACTCGCGTGCCTTGCGGGCTGGTGCACTAGGAGTGCTGGGGGATTTTTATCGTGGTCTCTATTTTGCACAGTTGCCCTGGGATTGTCCTCAGCTGCAAAGTCTGCATGTGTGTGGTTTGAGAGACGGTATCTTTACAATTTGGAGGCTATTACAATGACACAGCATGCTGAAAGGGTTAGTGTATTGGGGAAATTGGGCTCCACCCAGGCAAGGTTCTGGGAGGGCAACCAGGAGGCAGATGACTCACACTGACATGCTTTGAAATGGTGCACTTATCAACTATTCATATGATTAAATATAAATGTCTACAACAAAGGACCGCAATGCAACTCTAATTAGAAAAGTGAATTAGTAAATTCCTTTCAGGTCTATGATTCTCAGAAAATTAAATTTGTGGCCATTGATGCTACATAGCTTAAAAGTACTCACAATCTCCAGTGTCCCCTGGAGCTACAAACCCTCTAAAATCAGCTTACATAATGAAGCCTTTGTTACAGCTCAGACGCGTTTATATTATATAGAGTGCTTTGTACTGTGTGTTTTGTAAGTTAATTTTAAAAGTTGGGCTATTCTCATCTAGGAACTGAAACAGCAGGTCACGGCATAGAACTGGTTTAGGAAATGAAAATAGTTTCAACTAAGTCCCCAGTACAAATCTGGAAAATTTTTTGGAAATTTTTTTAAAGGTTAACTCAACCCTGGGACAAGTTTGGTGCCTTCAACTTCCCAGGGCCGCCAAATTCATTCTTTACTAAGAGAAGTAGCTCTCTTCCCAGTGCTGCCTTGTGAACTGGAGACAGACTTGTGATTCATTTTGGAGAACAATGGAATTTGTGGAAAAAAAAAAAAAAACAGATGTCATTGATTTAATAGATTTGGAAGTGTGGAGGGGAAAATGGCAGGTGGGAGAGGAGAGGACAGATAAAGAAAGGGAGAAGGGAAGGAAGGAGGGAAAGGAAGAGAAGAGAGAGAATTCTTGATTGTCATTTTGAATACGTAGTATTTTTCAGTTGGTTTTAAGAAGTTTGAATTTGCTGTGGCACCAGCTCAGTGTATATACGTGTGTTTCTTATGTTTTAGTATGAAAGGAAGCAGGAAAGCTGACTATTATACATTGCAGTTCAGATGGCCTGACTTCAAACACAGGTTACACGGAAGATCCAAACTAGGGCCCTTGTGTATTCCCAGGGCGGATCTTAGAGGAATTAGAGAAAATGATTCCGGGGGAGAAGTTAGAGGAAAGTCAAGAATGGACAACCCTTGGGCTCGGACTGCCTGTGTACAGTTCCCAGGGGACATCTCAGCATTAGGGCTGTTCCTCATTGCACCAGGCATTGCTAACTGTACCTCCCAGGGGCTTGACCAAAACTGAAGGCCAAAGGAGAGCAGTGTCCCTGACCTCTTGGAGACTCTGCAGCACTGTTGCAGAAGGCACAGCCGAGGAAGGAGCTGTCTGCCTAGATCCCAGCTCTAACAACTGAGAAATGCTGACATGAAGGAAAACGGATTGAATGGGATAGTGGCTCATACCTTTAATTCCCGTACTCCGGAGTTCAAGGCCAGCCTGGTCTACATAGCAAGTTCCAGGCGAACCAAGGAGACATAGTAAGACTTTGTCTCAAAAAACAAGACAAACAAACAAACAAGAAGTAAAGAAAAATGTCTGCCTTAACAGACATACAAATGGTACTTACAGGAAAAGAATTCTATCGCATAGAAAAAATTTGTGTTTTCCTCTGAATCAAAGCCGATTTACCTTGGATAATTTAAGGATTAGGATTACGAAAAAGAATCATAAACATGTTGACTTTCATGAGTTTTGACTTTGTTCTCATCTTTATAATATTCAGTTAATGTACAGATTCTGCCGAGTGAAGAGTGGTGGCCAGTCTGGGATAGACCCTCATTTCTTGCTTGATTTTGACCCCGTGGACAAGAAGTTTTGAGGTTGTAACTATAGGTAAGTTCTCTGTTTGTGTCCCTTCTGGTCTTTCTATGACTTCTGCTGAAGGGGTGGCTTCCAATAAACTCCACTTATTCTTAAATTTATCAATAGGCTTTACCAGTAACTATAAATCATGAGAGTAGGGACGTCCAACCATCTCCAAGACTGCTCATTCTTTTTCATTTGGAAGGATTAGGTGACCTGGTTTCCATCCTAAATTATATTTTAGAGGTTATTGTTTAAGTGTTCAAGGACTGTCAAGTTCCCTGGAAATGTCATTTTTATGTGATAAGATTGGGATACATAAGATCTAATAAACTCTGAAAACATTGGTTTTATGAGAACCTGTTTAAAAATGTCTAGCACCTAAAATTCCTCAATAATATAGAATAATGGTGCTCCATATGCGTTTTCTTATTCCATGGATGCAAGGGAATGCATCTCATGAGAGAATCTTATTCACATTTTTTTTTCATAGAAAAAAAAATAAGGAGTGAGTTAAAGAGATACTTCCTGACCTAGTGAAATGAAATGTCCTTTGGAGAAGAAAGAGCAATATGTCTCTAGCACAGGTAAAATATTTGAGTGTTTTGAGGGTGTAGAGATGGTTCTTCTAAACCTCATCTAAGAGTGTGAGATGGTAACCATCCCACCTAACCTGGCTGGCCACCAGCTTCTTTTCTGGGTATCTGAAAGGGATCTCTGGGTAAACTGAAGATTCCTCCATACTTACTCTTTGGCTGAAAATAGTTTGTTTGCTGAGAACATGAATAAGGAAACAGAAGCAAAGAAAAATCAGAGAAAACAGGGAATGCAGGCTAAAATACGGCTGGGAAGTCATCACCCTGCGCAGTGCTTTGGAAGCATATCACCCTGATTCCACTGGCTCAAAAAGTTTAAGGGTCATCTTTCCAACCCGGCTCTCTGGCTGGCATGGTATATCACTGTGGCACCACTGTCTGGCTTCTGGGAGGGCAGTCGTACGTCTCTCCAAAACTCAGCAGAGCCATGAGAGTTCTCCAGAAAACTAAGTGGCTCAGGGATGCTTGATGGTCACAAAAGGTTCTTTGTGCCACCCTGAAGTGTGGCTTCTGTGCGTCTTGCCTTCACATCTCCTGGAGCTCTGCAAGGATGCCTCGGTTTGAGGAAGATGCTGACAGCCCCTCCCATTGGCTGTGGCTCCAAGCCTGTCTTCCCTCAAAGCCCTGTCTGTACACTGCCGCCCGCCTGCAATTAGCTCTTGTCAGCTCTGTGGAATTTCTCTCCAGATTTTGTAGCAGTAATTATGGCTTCTGGTTTACAGGGGGAACCTACACTCTTTTTGGAGCTACTTCACGAAGTTGGCAGGCTTCTGAGGTGATTGCGCGTCTCGTCTTGTTCCTTTGTGTCTTTCTTTCAAAACCAGGACAGGTCTTTGTTTTTGCTGAAGCTTGCCATTTCCCCTTGTTACTGATATGCAGCCTTCTTTGTGCTGACAGCCAAGAAAGTTCTGGACTGTTGCCCCGTTTGCCTCCAGAGATTGATGCAAAGTCTTCAAAGTGAAGTCCATGGGTTTTCTCAAAGCACTTTACCGGAGACAAGACATATTCATGCTTAGGAGTCCATTAGTCTCCACTGCAAAGCTTCAGAGTGACAGACAGGCCTTGGTGGCTCTGAGGGCTGCAAACATCCTTGGAACCACTTGAAACAACAACAGCAACAGGTTCACCAAGGACAATGATCAGTTAAAGTCTCAATTTCCTTGTAGCTATTTCCAGTATCTCTTTTGATACCTACTGAAAATATTTCAGCATATTTTCAGCTGGATGTCCTTGGTGGGGAACATGGAGCGGACTCTGTAAGTGCCCAGCAGAGTCCAGTCAAGGACAATCGGCTTAGCAAGGATTGCCCCTGACCTCTGTGTGTGGTGGCTGTCATGGTCGAGAATGTGATGGAGTGGAGGGTTCTGACTGTCTGGATTCTTCTAGCATCATCTACGTTCACTGCAAAGTAGTCGTGTGGGGCGTCTTGACATCTGCACACACCAGCCCGGAACTATTTACCCGGGGAACTGATCTACCTAATCTCTGAGAAAGAAGCAAACACATCGCTGCTCCTCTCCTCCGGGCCATTTGAATACATTATCCATTTATTTGGTGTTTGGCTCAGGTTGAAATGAGTCGTTTAATTCGCCCTGCTCCCTGTTCGCAGCGAGTTAACTCGCGAACAGCTGGCATTCATGACTCATGGCGTTGTTAACAGCTGACCAGATTCAGCCACCACACTCCAGCCTTCCTGCAGGGCACTACGCAGCCTTGTGCCAGTGATCATGGCAGGGCTTCAAGCAAATCGGGGCCTTAGGTAACAAAATGGCCTTAAAAACTGCGACAGTTTCATAAAACAGAGCCACTGCCTATTGTAATGACTGGAAGGGCTGTTGATAAAGCTGTTTGAGGCTGATTATCATTACAGATAGGGAGGCTCCATTTCACTCCTGAGCACCTCTGGGGCCCCACAGAAAGCACAGCAGCCTTAATCCAAATAAAGGTCATTTTTTTTTTTTTTTGGTAAGGAAGGTCAGAAGCACCGAAGCAGGGAGCGAGGAAGAAGGTGACTCAAAGGAAGACAGAAACTCACTTAGAAAATGGAGCTATGTGCTTTGAAGAACGATTACTTCAGGATCTCACTGTTTAGTTCCCTTCCCTGTTTTCAAAAATCCCACAAATGATGTTCCAGAATACAGACTTCACTATTTGTTACTCTTTTTGTTTTGTTTTGTTTTTTATCCATTTGTCTACCACCTTTTTCTCTGTCTGGAATTCCCAGCCCCCATTTTCTGTCTTCATCAACCCTCCTTGCATAAGATAGGCACCTGAGGAAGGCAATGTTTCTTCATATTTCGCATATTAGTAGTGTTTCCTTGTTTCTGAGAAACAGAAAGAATGGCATCGCATAAAAACAGTCCGGAGAAATCCCTTTCCTCGGGAGGTTGTGGTGAATGTTATGGGACTCCACTGATGTCTAGACTCAGACAAAGTTGTGTATCCATGCACGTTAGGACCCACGGGTGCTGTGGGAACTTCTTCCACTCCTTCAGCCAATAACCGCTCAGATACCAGCCCACTGGGGTGTGGTCTCTCTTTAAAAAGCAGCGGCAGCCCTCTGCTTGCTCTCTTGCTCCAGCAACTAGACTCCTTTCCTGGCCATCTGTGTAGGACGGTGTTCTGTAAGTTTTTCCCCTCAAATAAATAACTCTTTGAATCCAAACTGGTGTGGGATTGTTTTGCGCATTACACCAAAGTCTCCCTTGTTGCGCCATTCAGCCCTGTACCCGGAAACTGTTTTTGTCTCCGAAACATCCCCGAGATAATGCCCAGCTCCCGCTCTCAGCAACAGCTTCCTCCTGATGATAGGACCATGTCAGCGGTTTTCAGCCAGAGTTGGTCAGCCAATGAGGTGTCCTCATCCTGCCTGGCACTTGGCAACATCTGTAGACACTTTGTCACAATTGGGCTGAGAGTGCTGTAGACACCCAATAGGCAGATGCTGGGAAACACAAGACAGCCTGTCTTTTCCACCTGTAATTAATTGTTCAGCCTCCAAAGCCAGCGGTGCTGAATCTGAGAAAGGTGTTCATCAGAGCCTTCCAGTGATGTCTCTTTTTACTGTCTGTCTGCTCACTAGCTCTGACCAATGTCCCTCAGTGCCCCCCATCTGTAGATAGTGGATTCTGCGCTGACATTGTCCCTAACCCTAAGTGCCCCTGCCTAGTCTCTGTGCCCAACACAAGCACCATGACCCAAAGATGGCTGTGCTTGTACCCCAAGCCTCTGAATAACATCATGCATTGTTCAGCTTCACCTAGTTGATAATGAAAGAGCTTTTGTTCTCATTTCTCTAAATAAAATGGGCCAAACTGAGGTTAGACACCAGTTCAAAAGCCCTTTTATTTACTAACATTTTCCTTCTCTTGGTCCCAACCTGAGATCTTTTGTTCCTCCCCAGCTGCTCTTGGCAACAGTGGGAGTTAGGGGATGCTGGGAGAGAAGTCACAGGGAGCTGGAGAGTTGTCTGCTACCCGACTCTGGCTTGTCCGGGCAAAAATGCCCAGGTATTTCTTTTATTTTTGCTTCTTTAAATGATAATCCAGGCTTTCCATATTTTTAAGGTATATCGAAAAGGCTAATAATCTTTGTTGACTCAAGTTTCCCTCTGAATCCTTCTATAATCTTATGTTATTTAGTTGATATAAGTCCCTTGTGGTCTTAAGTAATGGTATTCATGACAGTTTGTGACCTATACTGCTATTATGATTGACTTTAAAAATTCTATCTTTAAATATTTTGATGATTGTAATAATCTATTTCTAACCAGAAATGTGAATAGCTCTGTACTTTCTTTGTGATCATTTTAAATTATTTTTTTAATGACTCTCCTTCTCCAGTATTTGACTGACCTCTTGTTGATACTATGTAACGTTGCGTTCACACATCATCTAATGATGGGGATGTGTTCTGAGCCAGGTAGTGGTAAATGGTATTTTTTAAATGGGAATTCTGTAGTGTGAATTTATATAAACTAACATGGCTATGGTGCCACTCACTGATAGACTCTTAGTGAACTAAATTAGTTCCTTAGTTCCTTGTTCATGCAAATGTCATTATACAGCTCCAGTCTGGAATCTGTGTTCTCTTTTCTATTGCTGCGCTATGTAGCAAGTCATCATGGGGGACTGAGCTACATTATTTTACTTCCTATTGTCTGTCCAGACACACACAGTCATGCCTACACAGTTGGAGGCCAGGGACCACCAACATTGTCTCTCCTCCTCTATTGTTTTCCACATTGCTATTTTGATGCAGTGTCTCCATTGAACCTGGCATTCAGCAGTGGAATGGGACGGGTAACCAGAGAGATGCTGAGATCCTGTGTGTGTTTCTCTAGTGTTAGAACCACACCTGATGTTCTCACGCCTGGAGTTTTGTTTCGTTTTGTTTTCCTTTGTATATAAGTACTGTGGAACCGAACGCGGGCTC